GCGTCGTACGACGAAAATCGGATACAGTGTGAATCCAGCATAAGAGCTCACTGAGCGGTCGTAATACTGAATGCATGAAATGCATCCAGTGAGTGAATTCTTTCATCATTAACTTCCATCATGTTTAGATGTATGTACGTGAGCGTAGCATACATCTCAGGCTCGCGAATACGAAACAACTGTTAAGCTGCGCACGATATTTCCTTTATTTAATTTAATCCGCTAGGGATTGGTAAGTGCCTTGATAAATGCTATGAAAAAATTGTTAATTTCATATCTGATTATTACGCCGTTTTTACGTACATGTGAATAAATTGTCTCTCTGACCTATTTTTCCATCTCTTATAAATATTCCATCTCTTTCAAAAGTCATTTATTCTTATTTTTTATTTGATATGTTCAGTTTCTTTTTTAAATTTGATTTTGAAGATAAAAAAGTAGCCGTTAGAAATTTTTACAGATTAATATAATTTTATGTTGACACAAATTTATTTAAAATATAATTTTATTAATATTAATTTAATGTCAACTTTCTGACTAGGATTTTCAGGAGCTTTTAATAGAAGTTTTCAATATAAAAAACAATTTTTTTGTGTAAAAATATAGGTGAAACGATTGTACGAGAAATTTTGGAAAGTTATATATATATATAGGTCAGAAGAGAAAGTTTTAATGATTCATATTTCTTCTGTTAATCTTTAAGGCATACTAGTTCCTCAACTGTATTATATTTAAATTCTTGTGTACTTAATATTGTATTTAAAAGCTTTTTTTAATATTATGCTTGTAAATCTGAACAAATAATTTTTTTCATCAATTCTTTTAGAGGTAAAGTGAAATGAACTTTAGTTAAAATTTATATTTGCTGATCAATTGATTTTTTTCTAGAATATCATCCACGATAGTTTAAAAAATTAACTAAACGATGTCTGTAAATACAGCTGTGTTCAAAATTTGGAAAGAAAGCAATTCTGTGACTATGATTCTGTGGAAGTCATGTAAGACTTTCCAAACTCAAAGAGCAGTTTGTATTTCTGCACGAGATAGATTCCACTTCAGTAACGTTAATCGAGCGGAAAACAAGTTAGCAGTGAGTCAAAAGACAGACTGGAATAAAACTATGTCAGAGGCAGAGAAGATTGTTGGATATCCAACGTCCTTCTTAAGCTTAAGATGGTTATTGAGTGACGAGATTGCCAATGTTGCGTTGCACTTGAGAAAGCTAGTTGGATCAAATCATCCTGTATTAAAAACAGCCAAGTAAATTATCATAAGTTTTCCTAGAAATAGAAAATTTATCTGTACTTTTTTTGTTTCTTTTTTTTTTAACAGGGCCATTATTTATAATGGACGTAATACGCAGGCATTTGGTCTCATTTTGCTGCTAATCTCCAAAGCTGCTGGTCACTTGAATGCAAAACCTATAGAAGAGGATAAAGCTGCTGGTGTATTACACAGGTACACTAAACATAAAAATTTAAATCCTGCTGATATTACAAAAAATATATACCATGAAGGAAAAAATATAAATATTAAATATATAAATGTGCTTCAGTCAAAGAGCACTGGCGGAGATTACAGAAATGATACGCACTAGCAATTTAATACATAGAGGACTGGTAAATATAAATATAGATACAGGATCTATGGACTCCACAGAATTGAACAACATAACTTTCGGCAATAAAATAGCATTGCTATGTGGTGATTATTTGCTTAGCACTAGTTGTACCGAAATGGCAGCTCTCAAAAATCAAGATGTAAATATACATATTCGCTGTTTTTCTTGCTTATGCTGTGTGTCATTGTATTTTGTTACAACAAAAAAGAACAAATTATTTTTTTTTAATTTAAGAGGTTTCTAATAAAAAAGATGTTTTTCAGCTTTTGTTATTAATATCAGCTGCAGTAAGAGACTTATGTCAAGCAGAGTTTGTAGCCCGCAGAGACAATCAAAATTTTCCCATACCGTCAATACCACCTGAGGATCGCACGGGTTACGCACTGAAGGAATGGACACTTTTGAACACTTATGGTGCTGGATCGTTACTTGGAAAAAGTTGCCAAAGTACATTAAAAATAGCTGGTCACAGCAAAGAAATAGAAGAGAAGGGATACGAATTTGGCAAACATTTAGCTTTAGCTTGGCAGGTAATGTATTTTAAATAAATTTCATCTTTTACCACAATTTTTGTAAAATACTTATAATATTTTTAACAAGTTTTTGTAATAATTTTTTTACAGGCTTCCTTGGACTTAGGTTTATGCATTAATAAAGACAAGGGAATTTTGCAAAATTTGTGTGCTGCTCCAATCATGTTCCATGTTGAACATGATCTATCACTTTTAATAGAGCTTGATAAGGGATTGGACTCAGTTGAGAACGTTGATTATTTAAAGGTTTTTAAAATAATTAATATTTAATAAAATTGATCCACAATAAAATTAATTGCTATCCTTTATCGTGTGTTCAACAGAAGATTATATGAATAATTTATGTTTATAGGTACTTGACATTGTTGCAGCTGGTCCAGGCATTGGATTGACTAAAGAGCTTGTGAAGAAACACTCACAAAAGGCAATGGAAATCTTAAGTGTATTTAAAGAAAGCGATGCCAGAAAGGCATTATCTAATATTATTGTAGCTATAGGTGACTTTTAACAAAAAAAGTTTTTATTTTTTATTTTATTGTTCAGTAAAAATTTCAAGGCAAAATTTCAATATATATTTTTGTATATATTAAGCAAAATTATGTAGAAAAAGAACTTTAGGTGGATTAGATAAAGTTGTTAAAAAACAATGATTAAATTTATAATATAAAATATTTATTATATAAAATATAGATTGTTATATATTTTATAAATATTTTCATATCAGAATCAAATGTTTTGATATATAAATGCTTTCTTTTTATAGAATTGTTATAAATATATTATGTGTGTGTATATATATATATATATATATATATACATAAATTAAATTATGTTAAATTTTTGTATTTTATAATATATTGTAGAGTATATAAAACAGATATTTAATTAAATTGATACTTACACTTGTACTTTTTGTTAATACCAGCCAATGTCATGATCCCGATTATAGATTAAGTCAAGTTAGGGTTAGGTGAGTTTACTCTGGCTGCGTCGAAGATCTTCTTCTATGTATTGTTGGTCCGGGTCCTACTTACGCCCAGTCGTAAGGTATGAGAACAAGGATTGCCGTAAGGGTATATCCACACAACCTGCATAGCCGCATAAACGTATGCATAAATAAAATTATCCAATCACATTTTACGTGCGTCTTTGTAGGAGATATGCGAATGGATAATTTTCTTTATGCATACGTTTATGCAGCTATGCAAGTT